CCCACACTATCCCCATATCCCCTAGCCCCCCATACCCACTCTATCCCCATGCCCACACTATCCCCATGCCCCCTAGCCCCCACCCCCAGTAAAAGACAGGTACTTACAATGGGCCTGGAGGGTTTCTCCTTGCACATCTCTGTGAGGCCGATCAGCAGGGTGGGGTTGACGTATTTGCTGAGGTAATCTTCAGCAGCTTGGCCGTCAGGAAAGGGCTCAATGGTGACTGGTGGGCAGACGGAAAGGGGGAGTCTGGTCAGATGCTAAAAGGAAAAGGTGATGTCCAGCAGCAACTCCGGGAGGGAGAACCATATCACAATCCAAATCCACACTTTACCAGCTGGCCACATTCTCCCTGGAGTTTGGAGGGGGTGGATAGTGACTGTGGTGGATTGGGGTTAGTATAGACCAGCCGGGGCACACAATACAAGGAGCAGGCATCAGTGGGCCATTCAGCCCCTCAAAACTCCTCCATGCCTGGTCTGTGACCTGATTCCTTACACCCTGTCAATGGTGGATCCAAATGGAGGAATCTGATAGGGACCAGGATGAAAGTAATCACTGGTAGTTTATTCCCTGGGTCTGTGAGCAGCTAGCTCAGAGCGCTGGCAGAAATGTCTCAATTGGTACGCTTGCCTTTCTTGGTCAGTGCGTTGAGTACAGGAGTTGGTCATGTTGCAGCTGTACAGGACATTGGTGAGGGTCACTTTTGGAATACTCTGTTCAGTTCTGGTCTCCCTGCTGTAGGAAGGATGTTGTGAAACTTGAAAGGGTTCAGAAAATATCTACGAGGATGTTGCTGGGGTTGGAGGGTTTGAGCTACAAGGAGAGGCTGAATAGGCTGGGATTGTTTTCTCTGGAGTATCAGAGGCTGAGGGGTGACCTTATAGAGGTTTATAAAATCATAAGAGGAATGGATAGGGTGAATAGCCAAGGTCTTTTCCCCAGTGTCAGGGAGTCCAAAACCAGAGGGCATAGGTTTAAGGTGAGAGGAAAAAGATTTAAAAGGGATGTGAGAGGCAACTTTTTCACACAGTGGTGTGTGTATGGAATGAGCTGCCAGAGGAAGTGGTGGAGGCTGGTGCAATGACAACATTTAAAAGGCATCTGGATGGGTACATGAATAGGAAGGGTTTAGAGGGATATTGACCAAGTGCTGGCAAATGGGACCAGATTAACTTAGGAATCTGGTTGGCATGGACGGGTTGGGCCGAACAGTCTGTTTCCGTGCTGCATGACTCTATGACCGTATACTCTCTCTCAATGACGTTGCAATACAGAGAAGGAAATAAACCAAGATTCCTGCTCCTTATCCAGTGACTCTACCTGTCTGTTTCAGGAATGCATCTTGAAGAGACCGGAGTGGTTCCACCTCTGATGGAATGGGCCCTGTCCCCATGGCTGGAACCCTCTCATGCTCCTGTTTTCTCAGCTCACAAGTGTCCATCTTTCCAGGACAAAGACAGATGGAAACTCACCTTCAAGCGCAGCAGCATTGACATTAATAACTGGGATAGTCTCATTGAAGGACTGAGTGGCCTCCACCTGTGTAATAGACTTGACACGGGCTGAATAGCCAACTCTTGCTCCTGTGTTATCAGACATGAGGGGCTGAATGGCCTCCTCCTGTTCCCTGTACAGGTCTGTCCTTGCTCAGGTTCTCTGTGGTGAATGGGATTAGCAGCTATGGGATCTGGGAAGACACAGAGAGAGCAGTGACTTGGATCACAGCACAACCTCCATCAGATTAACGTAAAGAATGATTTATTCTGGACAGAACTCACCATTTGGGAACATGAAGTTAATCTCCCTTTCTGCCGTGTTGAAACAGCCACTGCCGTGCAAGGCATTCTTAATTTTATTGGTTCCATAGATTGCCCTTAAACTAGAAGCAGTAATTCATTAATAAAGAGTCTCATTGACCAAAATAATCTTCATTCAATTTCTCTTCACACTAAAAACCCAAGACAGCATCACAAGGATACTGACCCATGGTTCTGTATCTCAACACAACCCTGCCAAATACTGTCCCCCTCCTAAATACACTAACCCGCCAATTACCGTTGCCTCCTAAATACCCACCAAATACTGTCCCCCTTCTAAATACCTTGACACCCTGCCAAAAATTGCCCCCTTCTAAATACACTGACTCACCAAATACTGTCCCCTTTGAAATACCCCAACACCCTACTAAATATTGACCCCCTTCTAAATACACCGACTCGCCAAATACTGTCCCCCTCCTAAATACCCCGACACCCCGCCAAATACTGTTCCCCTTTGAAATACCCCAACACCCTGCCAAATACTGTCCCCCTCCTAAATACCCCAACACCCTGCCAAATACTGTCCCCCTCCTAAATACACTGAACCCTGCCAAATACTGTTCCCCTTCTAAATACACTGACTCGCCAAATACTGTCCCCTACCTTACTACCTGACTCACCAAATACTGTCCCACCCAAATACCCAAACTTGCCAAATACTGTCCCCCTCGTAAATACTCTGACTCGCCAAATACTGTCCACCTCAAAAAACCCCAACACCCCACCAAATGCTACCCCGTTCTGGGTGTCAGTACCCCCTCTGTATTCTCCCGCTGTGTTCTCCCTTCATCAGTTGCCCCTGCTCTGGACAGTTCCAGCCCCTTCGAGATCCCTGACCTTTTGGGATGCGTTTCCTTCGCCTTCTCACTGTCGACGGGTCCAAGCAGCTCATTCCACTGTTTGATTGCAGAGTGTCGGGCCAGTATCATTGCAACCAAAGGGCCTGAGCAGAGGTGTGCTGTCAGGCTGGGATAGAACATTTTCCCGCTGTGAACAGCGTAGAACTCACTGGCCTGCTCTGGGCTCAACTGTATTTTCCTTCTCTGGGGAAGAGAGACTGCCTTAGTTTAACACTCACTCATGGTCCTGCTTACAGTATGTCATGCTGCATGTACAACAAATGATTGTCCTTGCTGACATGAAACCGTCTCCACTTTAGGCCACCAACTCCAAATCCAGCGAAGTAAACACAGCTGAACTGTCAGCCAGAAGCTAATTGCTGCGGATATTTTTGAATTAACCTGTTCAGAGACATTATTGCACAGCTCTGGAGCAGTTGGGACTTGAAGCTAATTGTTGTCTGCTGAGGGAAATGCACTGTTGAGATTGTCTGTCACTTTTGGTTTATTGTTCAGGTCAGGGATTGGAGATTCTTTCCCTTACTTTTAAAAACAAAAGTTCCTTTTTGCAGCAGTAACAAATTGAAATGTCCGGGGCAGGAGGGGTCACGGTGCAGGGGCAGCTGGAGGCTAGGACTGAATCTGACCTGGAAACGAGCAATAACTCGGTGACAGAGAACAGGCTGCTTGTTTAGAGCACAGCTATTGAAGTCACTAATGTCTGGTGCACAATTAAAACAATGCATTCCTCACACCACACATACATGCACATGCACATGCACTCACTCCCACACACACAACATTTGAAGGACTGTAAATGCTGAGCTTTGTATTTCTTCATTTTTCGAATTTATTCCTAAGGTTCTGGACCTAGGCACCTTTGTACATAAGATGGGCCTTGAGTGGTGACTTTCTAAATTTTTCACTGCACTCATGTGAGCACGTGACAATAAACCTAATTCTAATCCACTCTCTCACACACACACTCACTTATGTGAGAAGGGGAGGCAATGGCCTGATGGTATTATCGCTGGACTGTTAATCTAGAGAAACAAATCCGGAAGTGACGCCACCCACACCAGTAAACCGAGACACATAAATAGCAAGTGGGACAGAACACTGACGCTTCACCGGAGACGCACTGATGATGTTACAGCGTGACATACTGTATGGTGAGGAAACGTTTGCAAACAAACTTACCAGCTCAGTGAGCAAGTCAACAACCTCACCCAGATAACATTCTGGGCATTCAGGTTCGAATCCCGCCACAGCAGAAGGTGGAATTTGAATTCAATAAAATATCTGGGTTTAAGAATCTAATGATGGTCATGAATCCATTGCAGATTCTCAGGGAAAAGGACATTAGACATCTGGTTCAATAATGTCCTTTAGGGAAGGAAACTGCCATCCTTACCTGGTCTGGCCTACATGTGACTCCAGACCCACAGCAATGTGGTTGACTCTGCACTGCCCTTTGGGCAATTAGGGATGGGCAATAAATGCTGCTTGGTCAGTGATGCCCTCATCCCGTGAATGAATAAAGGAAAACAAAACTCTCACACATTGACCTATCTTTTTCTCTCTCTCTCTGACACACACACTCTCCCCCCTACAGATAGACAATCTCTCTCTCTCTCTCTCCCACACACACAGACACACTCTTTCCCTCTCCCACACATAGACACACACTCTCTCTCTCACACAGACACACACACACACTCTCTCTCGCACACACAGACACACACACTCTTTCTCTTGCACACACACACACACTCTTTCTCTCGCACACACAGACACACACACTCTCTCGCACACACAGACACACAAACACTCTCGCACACACATTCTCACTCCCTCTCTCTTGCACACACAGACACACACACTCATTCTCACTCTTGCACACAGAGACACACGCACACTCTTTCTCACACACACAGACACACGCACACACACACTGCAGCGGAGCTTCTGATGTCAGGGCCCCTCATTCCAAACTTTGGCACTACTTGAAACCCACCAACTGATCTCAAAACTCCCTTCGCTTCTCCACATTGAGAAATGTAGGACCTTTAAAGGTCATTGTGACTGAAACAAAGCCTTTTCTTTGTGACATTTTAGCATCAGTGAGCCCTTTAAAGGGCAGACTGATGAAGGTTGGAGATGGAAATGAGAAAAAAGGATGTATTGTGTTTTTAATCTAACTGTCAGGGAACTCTGCCCCTCACATGGCAGTCTCAGAAACAATCCAGCCCTCTCTAACTTACAATATCTTGAAATGAGTTGTGGAGGGTCAGTGATGAGAGAATGCCACACTGTGGGAGGGTCAGTACTGAGGGGGTGCCGCACTGTCGGAAGGTCAATACTGAGGAAGCACTGCACTGTAGGAAGGTCAGTACTGAGGGAGTGCCACACTGTAGGAGCATCAGTGCCATGGGAGCACCGCCCTGTCGGAGGGACAGTGGACATTGTTTTAGAACTGACTGAGGCCCTGATCGAAGCTGTAGAATTGTAGATTTAGAAATGTGATAAATTTCAGTACCTGCAATATGCTGAACCCAGCCCGAAGGATAATTTCTTCGATTTCAGTTTCTTTGTCAACAGCGTCTGGTTTGATGATAGCCAGAGTACACTCCACAAATATCCGAATGTTACTCATATTGACTAAGAGAGACTGCACCAAATGACTGAAGGCTTGGCTTTTTCAGTGAATAGCAAGTCTGAAACAGAGATTGAATCAAATTCAGAGCTGGGAGGCATTACAAAGTGTTTGTAGTCTTCAAGCTAAAGTTAGTGAAATTAGTGAATCAAACTTTTTTGAGGCACTCATTGTTGGTGATTAGAAGAATCAAGTATGAGCAGTAAGGACCTTGTTAATTCTTCATGACATTAACAATCAGAGCTATAGGTAGACCCATAAGGCCCTTAGGGAGATTTTGACCCAGCAACGTGATTGAACAGACGATATATTTCTATGTCAGGAAAGTGAGTGGCTCAGAAGGGGAACTTGCAGGGGGTGGTGTTCCCATGTATCTGCTGCCCTTGTCCTTCTAGATAGAAGTGGTCATGGGTTTGAAATGTGCTGCCTGATGGTCTTTGGTGAATTTCTGCAGTTTCTTGTAGATGGTACACACTGCTGCTACTGAGCGTCAGTAGTGGAGGGAGTGGATGTGGTGCCAAATCAAGCGGGGGCTGCTTTGTCCTGGATAGCGTCGAGCTTCTTGAGTGTTGTTGGAGCTGCACCCCATCCTTATCAATGGTGGTCAGGCTTGGAGGAGGTGAGTTACTTGCTGCAGTATTCCCAGCCTCTGACCTGCTCTTGCAGCCACTGTGTTTACGTGGGGAGTCCAGTTGAGTTTCTGGTCAATGGTAACCCCCAGAATGTTGATAGTGGGGGGATTCAGTGATGGGAACACCATTGAATGTCAAGGGGCGGTGGTTAGATTCTCTCTTATTGGAGATGGTCATCGTGTGGTGCGAATGTCACTTGTCTGCCCAAGCCTTCTTATTGTCCAGATCTTACTGCATGTGAACACGGACTGCTTCAGTATCTGAGGAGTCACAAATGGTGCTTGAACATTGTGCAACCATCGGCGAACATCCCCACTTATGAACTTCTGTTTGTGACCCCCTTTCCCCCAGCTCCAATCTGTTTCTGGCCTGGTATTGCCCCTCCTGACCTGTTTCAAACCGCTTTTGGACGCCACCCACCCCCACCCCCGGCCCTGTTGTGTCCCAACAGCCCGGTTTAGCCACCCTCGGCTTGTTTCTGGCGTAGTTTGCCCCTCTGGCCTGGTTTTGCCCCCCCACCACCCGTTTCTGGCCCAGGATGGTTACCTGGTCGAGGCTCATCTGTTACCTGGCAACTGGCGCTTGGGGCGGGGCTGTATGGCGTGGTTCCCGGCGAAGGGGCGGAGCCGTGTGTGCGGAGGGTGTTGCTCCCAGTGGAGGGGCGGGTCTGAGTGGGTTGAGGGCGTGGCTCCCTGTGAAGGGACGAGGCCGCGTGTGGAGGGAGGACTTCCCTGTGAATGGGGCGGCGCTGAGTGGGTGGAGGGTGCGGCTCCCAGTGAAGGGGCGGAGCTGTGTGGCTGGAGGGCGGGGCTCCCAGTGAGGGGGCGGTCCTGAGTGGGCGGAGGGTGCGGCATCCCGCGAAGGGGCGGGTCTGATTGGGTCGGGGGCGGGGTTCCCTGTGAAGGGGCGGTGCCGTGCGGTTGGAAAGGCGGGACTCCCAGTGAAGGGGCGTGGCTGTGTGGTGGGGGCGAGGCTCTCCGTGCCGGTGGAGGGCGTGGCTCCCTGAAGGGGCGGAGCTGCTTATGTGGGCGGGGTCTCAGGCGATCACGTGGTCAGGTTTGAATTTTGTGGCGGGAAGGGCTGTTGGTTGGCGCGCGCTGCGGACGGAGCTTGAGATGGAGGACGGCTCTCAGCTCTCACCCCAGCGCCTCCGCCAGTACCAGGAGCTCCTGAAGCGGGCCAAGGAGGAGGCCCGGTCCGGGGCGCTGAGGCACGCCGTACAGATCCTACGCGAGGCCCAGGCTGTGTGGCCTAGCAGCAGCAAGGTGTCCCGGAGGATCGAGAGGCTGGAGAAGGTGCTGCAGGAAATCGAGGCTCAGGGTGAGGAGGAGGAAGGTCAGGATGAGGAGGAAGAGTTCACCGCCCTGCCCGACTCCGGCCTCCTGCTCTACCGGCCCCTCTACCTCCGCCTGTACCCGCACCAGCGCCAGGGGGTGGCCTTCCTGCACCGCCTGCACCGGGACGGTCTGCCCGGCGGCATCCTGGCCGACGACATGGGCCTCGGCAAGACCGTGCAGCTGATCGCCTTCCTCTCCGGCATGTTCGACGCCGAGCTGGTCCGCTGCTGCCTCCTGGTACTGCCCAGTGGTCTCCTCCGTAACTGGGCCGCAGAGTTCAGCCGCTGGACGCCGGGCCTGAGGGTCAGAGGTCAGCGCCGGCAGTGGGGCGAGGCATGGCGAGCGGGTGGAGTCCGGGATGTGGGCGGAGTCTAGGGCGGGGCGAGCGGGTGGAGTCCGGGATGTGGGCGGAGTCTAGGGCGGGGCGAGCGGGTGGAGTCCGGGATGTGGGCGGAGTCTAGGGCGGGGCGAGCGGGTGGAGTCCGGGATGTGGGCGGAGTCTAGGGCGGGGCGAGCGGGTGGAGTCCGGGATGTGGGCGGAGTCTAGGGCGGGGCGAGCGGGTGGAGTCCGGGATGTGGGCGGAGTCTAGGGC